CGCGGAGGGTGCGGCGAGGCCCCCCCCCCCCCTCTCGCGCGCCCTCGGGCTTGAATCCACTCCAAAGAGAGAACCAAGCGGCAGCGTCTTGGCGTTGTTTTCCCTCGTGCCGTCGCCACGCGCCCCCTGACTTCTTCCAGCCTCCGCAGTGAGCGGCCACAAAGCATAAGATGCCGCCTCAGAATTAGCCCCCACGCAGAAGAACCGGCCCCGGCCGGAATAATGTACCGTGCCTTCTGTAATTGCTCAGGTCTCCCCGTAGAATACGATATGCTCCACCCCAGGGGCGCTCAGAGAACGTCTTTGGGGAGCCTGGTTTGTCTTGTCTGCACCCCTCTGGTTTGGGACTGCACCATGCCCTGCCTGACTTTTTCAGAATGAAGGCTACTCTCAAACATTTACAGCCATGTAGCATCCGAAAGCTCCAGTCACCACTGGGTTCTGTGGTGCTGCTCAACACAAACAGCTAACACCTTCCAGGAAAGCTGGGACCATTCTCCTTCACTCCCCCCCTAAATCCATTAGTCTTGGTTGTCTTTGTAAAGTGTTGTTAATTAAAATGTTAATAAAATCATTATGCCTATCACTATTATTCATGAATACAATTAGTTTAAATATAAAGGGTAACAAGAAAGCATTCTACAAATATATTTGAATATATTACAAATATGTTAGAAACAAGAGGAAGACCAAGGACAGGGTAGGCCCATTGCTCAGGGAAGAGGGAGAAACAATAACAGAAAACAGAAATGGCCGAGGTGCTAAATGACTTTGTTGTTTCAGTTTTCACCAAGAAGATTGGTGACTAAGGTAGTGAAGGCTAGTGGTAATAGGATAGGTTCAGAAGTTAAAATAGGAAAAGAATGAGTTAAAATGACTTACAAAAATTAGATGTCTTCAAATAATGCCTGATGAAATGCATTCTAGAATATTCAAGGAGCTGATAGAGGAGGTATCTGAACCAATAGCTATCATCTTTGAAAAATGGAAGTTGGGAGAGATTCCATAAGACTTGAAAAGGGCAAATATAGTGCCTATTTATAAAAAGGGAAATAAGGACTACCCAGGAAACTACAGACCAGTCAGCTTAACTTCTGTGCCAGGAAAGATAATGGAGCAAATAATGAAGGAATTCATCTGCAAACATTTGGAAGAGAATAAGGAGATAGGTAACAACCAGCATGGATCCGTAAAGAACAAATCATATCAAACCAATCAGATAACTTTCTTTGATAGGCTAACAAGCCTTGTGGATAAGAAGGAAGCGGTAGACATAGTACACCTAGACTTTGGTAAAGCATTTTATATGGTCTTGCATAGCCTTCTAATAAAATAATAAAATACAACCTAGATGGGGCTGCTATAAGGTGGATACATAACTGGGTGGCTAACCATTCTCAGAGAGTAATCATCAATGGTTCACAGTCATGCTGGAAGGGCATAACAAGTGGGGCTCCTCAGGAGTCAATTTTGAGACTGGTTCTATTCAATATATTAATCAACAACTTATATAATGGCACCATAGAAAATACGCTCATAAAGTTTGCAGATGATACCAAGCTGGGAGGTGTTGCAAGTGCTTTGGAAGGTAGGGTCATAATTCAAAATGATCTGGACAAACTGAAGAAATGGTCTGAGGTAAATAGGATGAAATTTAATCAGGAGAAATGCAAAGGACTCTACTTAGGAAGTAATAATCTGTTTCACATATATAGAATAGGAAATGACTGTTTAGGAAGGAGTACTGCAGAAAAGGAGCAGGTCATAGTAGAACACAAATTAAATATGAGTCAAACACTATTCTGGGATGCATTAAAACAAGAATGTTGCATTAAAACAAGAATGTTGTGAGAAAGACACGAGAAATAATTCTATTCTGTGCTCATCAGGCTTCATTTGGAGCACTGTGTCCAGATCTGGGCTCCACATATCAGAATAGATGTGGAGAAATTGGAGAGGGTAAAGAGAAGAGCAATGAAAATGATTAAAGCTCTAGAAAACATGTCCTATGAAGGAAGACACAGTCTGGAAAAAAAGATGATTGAGAGGGGACATGATTGCAGTCTTCAAATACCTAAAAGGGTATCACAAGGAGGAGGAAGAAAAATTACTCTTCTTAGCCTCTGATGATAGGGCAAGAAGCAATCAGCTTAAATTGTAGAAAGGGAGCTTTAGGTTGGAATAAATTGTCTAGGGAGGTTGTGGAATCTCCATCACTGGGTACATTTAAGAACAGGTTTGACAACCATTTATTAGGTCCAGTGTTTCTCAACCTTTTTTGTATAAAGTACCCCTTTAAAAAAGTTAAAAGTGCCCCCAGTACCTACAGTTTTCAAATGCACCATTTTTTTCTACTGTTGCAACACATTTGTGTAAACAACTTAATCATTGTCTGGTGGGCGATGTAATTTTTGGGTGTAAAAAGTACAAAAATAATAAAATGCTGTAAAACTAAAAACAAAAATTCACTTTTCTCCAAATTTCAGCTATGTTGATGTACCCCCCAGACTTCTCTTGAGTACCCCTAAGGGTACTCTTACCACTGATTGAGAAACACTGGTCTAGATGGTGCTTGGTCCTGCCATGAGGGTGGGGACCGGATTTGATAACTTCTCAAGGTCTCTTCCAGTTCTAGTATTCTATGATTCTGTAAGGAGAAAGAGCTAATTTACATGTTTTAAGTGAATCCATTTGGTCTTTATGATTAAAGAAAATAGGTAAAAGAGTTCAGAAAATATTTCATTTTATGTCTGCAGAGGCATTGTCAGCTGTTCTGTCCATGATAAGCTTTGGTTTCACATATTTTATTCAGAAATGATAATATAACCTTTTCTCTGCTAACAGTTGTTTAATCTTCCCTCCACCATACATCTCTTACAGAATACATATAAGTCCTAGGTGATGGTTTACCTTTATTTTATATAAGTTAACTAAAAGAATGCATTTGCAATGGCAATATGACTCAGGTTAAAGGTTTATTTAATCCATTAGTGGTCAGTTCTGGATGTTTCAGAGGAAAGTGCAATAAACTCCTTAGGATTTGTTTTGGGCTGACCAGATAGCAAGTGGGAAAAATGGGGATTTTTGAGGGATGGGGGGGGGGGCATAGTTGCATATTTAAGACAAACCCCCCTAATATTCTCAAACACCACACAGGCCCCAGTATGTCTACATGCCAACAAAAATCAATAACCAAAAAACCCATGGCATTGAGTTCCAGGACCATGTTCAAGTGACTTAGCCTCCTCTTGTGGGGGCTAAAGATAGCAGAGCTCAGGCTAGAGCTGATCTCGGAAATGCAGTGAGAAGGGAGAGTCTTCGAAATGAGCTTAAACGTCTACCCTGCTATTGAGCATGGCCTCGAAAAGTTGAGCCAGCTGACTCAGACTTTGAGACTCTGCCACGGGATTGTTCTGGTTTGTTTCTCACAGTGTAGAAGTATGCCTAGTGGGCAACTCTAATCTGTCACCGGAGATGTTTTTCCTCTAACCTCAATTGGTTAGTCAGGAGTTCTCAAACTTCATTGTGCTCAGACCCCTTTCTAACAACAAAAATTACTACATGACCGACCCCAGGAGAGGGGACCAAAGCCTGAGCCTTCCCAAACAGTACCACTCTGGGTCAGGAGGCCCAAAAGCCAAATGTGAGCCCCATTGCCCCAGGCATGGAAGCCAAAATTGAACCCCAAAAACCTCAGCCCCAGGGTAGGGGCCTGCAACCTGAGCCCAGTTCTCAGGGCTGAGGCCCTCAGGTTTTGGATTCAGTCTTCGGCAGTGGGGCTTGGGCTTGGGCTTTGGCCTAAAGTCCTATGAAGTCTACGCCCCATTAAAATGGGGTTGTGATCCTTTTTGGGGTCCCAGCTCACAGTATGAGAACCGCTGAGTTAGTGGTTTGAACCCTAGCACAGAGACGATTGCCTAAAATATTAATCAAAAGCCTACAGTGCTGAATTTGGTTTCCTAATGAGAGCAAAAGATGGGTCAAGTGATCGGAATGAGTTCAGTGTGAACCACAGACTTCCCGTGTGATCTTCAGTAAGTCACGTAACTTCTTTTCTTCAATACCTTCAGCTGTAAAATGAGAATATAGCCCTACTTCTCTGGGGATTTTATGAGCTAAATTTGTGTTTGTGAAATGCATTGAGGGGCTTAGATGGAAGCTAGAAAAATAGAAAGCCATTTTAGTGATCAGTATACCAGTGCTGCTTTGGGGTGCTTCTTGATAGACTTTTATGCATGGTTTCTCTGCAGCATGACTGATTTTATAAATTTGTAAAAGCACTAAATTAGAAGTATTTTTAAAAATAAACATAGAAAAAATGCAAAAACGTGAAATATTGCAAAGTTTCTTACTAGGACAGGATATTCCAAGTTGGCAAAGTGGTAATATTATGGAAATAGACACATAGTGTTTCTGTAGCTGGAGACTTATCTCATAGTTACGTATTGTTATAGCATTCTTCAATAGAATTACACACGCCACTTATGGTTCTGGGGCATATAGAATAGCCAATTTTTTCATCCATTTTGTGAAACTGAATTATTGTAAACATGTGGGCTACGTCTACACTAGCCCCTCTTCCGTAAGGGGCATGTAAATTTCAAGAGTCGTCGTAGGGAAATCCAGAGGATCTGTTTTCCTGAAGGGCCTCTTCTTCCCTCCACCATGAATAGGGTCGCCAGGTGTCTGGTTTTGAACTGGACAGTACAGTATATGGGTTTTCTGTTTGGGAAACAAATTGAGAAAATATAAATGTCCAGTATTTTCTAAATAAAATGTAATGTA